ATAATAAATTAACACAGTCTGTAGCTGCTGATTTAGGAACAGCAACAGACTCAGGTCAGCAAACTCTTGATGCAATATCTGTGCCATACAGCAGATATCAAAGAGGACAAGAATGGATGTCAGGAAGCTTATAGTAAGGCAGGGGAGAGAGACTGAGGAGCCAGTTACGTGTAATTCAGTGAACTAAGTGTGAGAGTAGAGGCGGTGTAAGATGTAAGCGTTGCCTGGAGAAGGGAGCCCTTCACCCTAGAGGTTCATGGGTATCTCCAGGGAACAGATGGCATCTGAGTTGGGTTTCAGAGGATAACTTGTTTTAGGAGAGAGGACATTCTGTACTGCCGCATGCCTGGGTGAAGGTGGGGCAAGCTGGAGTGGCATATTCAAGGACACGTGTCAGAGTTTGGCCATGTGGAGGCACTGAGGCTGTGACGTTGCCTGAGCTGTGAGACGGAGGCATGGGCAGGGGCTGACCGAGGGCCTGCGGTGCTCGGGGGACCCCAGTGAGGAGTTTTGAGTAGGGGACTCCTGCTTCATTACCTATAACGATGGTTTTTGGGATGGAGAAGTGCAAGGGTGGAGACAGGAGGTACTTTAAGAGAATATGGTTGTGGAGGAACCTGTAGGATAACCAGATCTTTGGGGTCTGGGACCTCCTAGCAAATGATTTTGCCTTCCCATGGGACAGCCTGCGGTTTTCATCTGTTCTGTCTCAGATGACAGCTGTGTGCACACAGTAAGAGAAGAGAGCAGACAGAGTGTGTTGTCTTCAGATTCCCTGGTAAATGGTCTTCTGTATTTAGACTTCGTGCCTCTCAGCTTTTATAAAAGAATCATGAGAAACATGCCCCTCTCACCCCCAAGGAGGCAAGATACTCATGATTGAATGTAGCACAGTGGTTGTCGAGGCGTATATAATAGAAAGGATCGGGAAACTCTCCCACATCTGTCCCCCACCACCTTGCCAGAGGCTTGGCTGGGAGACAGAGGTGCCTTGCTGTGGACTCTGTCTTTGCCTGTTTTTCTGTTGGATTGCTTTATTTTGCATAATCATCCATTTCTGGTTATATATCTTATAAATATGTTCTCCCAGTTTGTGACTTCCTCCCATTTCTTTATGTGTATTTTGATGAATGGAAGTTTTATATTTTTAAGTTTTTTATTTTGAAGTAATTATAGAGTCACAGGAAGTTGGCAAAAAAGGAAAATCCTGTGTAGTCTTACTGAGTTTCAATTTTCCCTAGTAGTGACATCTTGCATAACTATAGTGCAAATAGTAAAACCAGAAAATTGACATTGGTACAATCCAGAGAGCTTACTATATTTAACCACTTTTAACATGCATTCATTTAGTTCTGTGCAATTTTACCACATGTGCCTATCCATGTAAACAATACCACAGTGATGGTATAGAATTCCATCACCACAGTTTCCTTCCTGCTAGCTCTTACAGCCACACACCCTCCTCCATCTCTGATCCCTGGCAACCACTAATCTGTTCTTCACTTCTATGATTTTGTTATTTCAAAAATGGTATATAAATGCAATCATACATTATATAACCTTTTCAGTGTGTCTTTTTTTCACTCAGTATAATTTTCTTGAGATCCATTCAAGTATCGTTCTACTTTTTGCTGAGTACTATCCCGTGGAATAGATATACCACAGTCCGTTTAACCCTTCACCCATGGAAAGATATCTGGATTGTTTGTAGTTTTTGGCTATTATTGATAAAGTTGCTATGAACATTTGTGAATAGATTTTTATGTGAGCCTAGGTTTTTGTTTCTCTGGGATAAATTCCCAGGAGTGAAATATTTAGGACATATAGTAAGTACATGTGTAGTTTTATAAGAAACTGCCAATCTTTCTAGAGAGGCTGTACCACTTTTACAGTCCCACCAACAGTGCATGAGAAATCCATTTTCTCTGCATGCTTACCATCTTTATTTGGTAAAGATACATGCTTACAGTCTTTATTTGCCATTTTGGTAGGTATGTATTGATATCTCATTCTGGTCTTATTTTGCATTTCCTTGATGTTGAATATCTGTCTTTTCATATGCTTGCTTAGTTTACCATCTATATACCCTCCTTGGTGAGATATCCGTTCATGTGTTTTGCCCATTTTCTGACTGTATTGTTGAGTTTTGAGAGTTTTTTATATGATCTAGTTTGTATGTCCTTTTTTGGATATGTGGATTTCAAATATTTCCTTCCTGTCTGTAGAGAAGTTTTAATTTTCATATAGTCAGATCAACTATTCTTTCTCTTTGTGGTTTGAAGCTTTTTTTTTTTTAAATCTAGTTAAAAAACTTCTTCCTTACTCCCAGTTCATGAAAATATTTTTGAAAAGGTTCTAATTTTCTATGTTTGAGGTTTTAGCCCATCGATTTTAGCCATCCATTTCCATAAATGCATGGGTTTATTGCTAGTCTATGTAATCTGTCCATTTGGGCTGTTTGTTTATCCCTTTGCCAGTATATGATTTTATTTGCTATTGCATTGTAGTAGTTTTGCTAAGTCTTTTTTGCTCTTCCTTAGATTCCCCATTCAAGGTTGTGGTCGGAATTACATTAAGTTTGAAGATCTGCTTGAGGACTTCTTACAAATATCTTGCTAAACTTATTTCTAAATATTTTACATGTGTGGGATGTTAGTTTAGTGATATTTTAATAAGTCCACATTTTCTACCTGTTTCAAAGAAATTGCTTTTAAGGTTCACCATTAGTAACATTCGCTACCTTTTTTGTAACTGCTTTATTTACATTAAGAAATTTCTATTCTCATAGTTCTAATTTATTTTTATCTGCCTCTATTAAAATGATCATGTGCTTTTTTTCTAATTCAATTTTTTGACGTAATTTTTCTAGTGTTAAACTAACTTTACACTCTTCAGATAAAAAACATTTGTTTCTGGTATTTTTCTATATGTTGCTAGATTCAGATTACTTCTTTTTGTTTAGGATTCTTGCCTCTGTGTTCATGTATAGAATTGGCTCTGCTTTTCTTTTTTTACATTTTATATTGCCCTTGTCTGGTTTTGCTAACAGGGCTTCAAAAAATGAGTTGGGAGGGCATTTTTCCTCTTATTCTCTTTGGAAGAATTTGCATACTAGCATTATTTCTTTCTTGAACTGCTGTTGGATGTTGGGTCTGAGAGGTTTAGAAGTGGAAGAGATCTTAGAGGTCATCCTTATAGCATTGTTTTAGTGAGAAACAAAGAATTAAATGCTGAGACCCAAATCCAGAGGGCACTTTCCACAGTACTATGACACAGTGATCGTTGTTATAGAAATCCTAATCCTGAAGTAAAGCTAACAACCATTTTATTTTCTAAGACAGAGGGGCCCAATGCCTTCACTGTGAAGCCAGTGCAGATCTCTGTAAGAGAGGCTTGGAGAACACCCCATTAACCTGACAAACTCGATCTCTTAGGTTTCTAGGCTTATCCGATTAAGCTGAAGAACAGGGGAAGGGCACCGCAGGAGGTAGACTGACAGCAACCTCACAGGCTCCGCAGTGGAGCAGCTCTGTGTAGGAACCAGAAGTTGTTGCCCGCTGTGGTGATGGATGATCATTTTCATCTGGAGTATCAAAGAAATATGCAATATATCGCATTTTTATGAAAGTCAGTAGTCAATGTATTTTTGGAAAATTTTTATAAAAACAGCAAAAATGAGTGGTTGTATGCATAAATGACTCAGCTCCTATTATCTGGAGTATTTCTTCATCCAACAGACATTCCTCGAGCACCCTATAGTGTTCAGCACTGCTCCAAGGGCTTTTTACCTTTGGGAACCCACTCTTTCCATTATAGGTTAGTGTGATTTAACCATATTTGGGGCTTAGTAAATTGGTTCCTTTCATTTCAGATTTCAGTTCACCATTTCCAGCACCTGTGCCTAATGCTATAATGAAACAAAGAAAATGTGCCTTCTTTATCTAAAATGACTTTAGCAAATATGCAGGCTGAAGGTCTATACAACTGTTTTTCCAGATATGTTATAGGCTTTATCTTGGTAGATTTTAATTCTTGTTTATGAAGTGTGCCATGTCACGTAGCACAGTGGTAAATTAAATTAATTCAGACCACATTTTCCTTAGCTAAAGAGTCTCTCTCTCTCTCTCTCTCTCTCTCTCTCTCGAAAAAACCGCTACTGATGTAGCTTTACTTGAGGTCATACTCTGTTGGGAACTTGTCCTTTGGCAGGGGGCTGATGGACGAAGGGCACACCTATCTTGACAGCCCAGTTACCAGTCGACCTTGGCAGTGCTGCAGGTGACAGGTGGTGCTCATTTGCCCTCAGAAGGCTGATAAGACTCTTCTCTTGTCCTTGGTCCTCAGATGTGAGACCCTGGCTTGGTCCCCCAAGTTCTCATTAGGGGAATAGATGGCAGAACTGGGACCAGGTGGTTTAAGGCCTCTTTTGATCCTAAAATTGTGACTTGTTGAGGCCCCAGACATTGTAGAAACAAATGAAAAATATATATACATTGAGAGGCAGAATGCCACATGTCATCTAGAAATGGATTAAAAATAGGCAAAATGTATTATACAGTTAGAAAATGTATTTTTCTCATGTAGCCTGTTTTACATTTGCAAAAAGATTATTTTGTGTATGCTTTTAGTTCTAGATTTCTACATATTACATTTTTAAAATTGGACTTTGATGATACCTTTTGAAGAATCCATTCTTAATAAGTAAATGCAGCTGCTCTTCACCAATAAGAATAAAAAGTAAAAAAAAAAGAAGTGTTTCAAAAAAGAGCCTACTAAAAACCTTGTTGTAAATGTACCTTTCATTGCAATATGGCTTTTAATCAATCTGTCTAACAGCGGATATGGTCTGAAAGCCTTGCAATAGCCTTCATTGTTGATTGTTGTCCACCTGTCCTTCAGGAAAGGAGGAATATTGGAAAACTAGTATATAATTTGAAGTATTTATATTACGCATGCTTCAGCTTTGGTTGGGCACTTGCTGATAAAACTCTCCCTTCCTAATACTTACCTGGCAGGAGAGATACCATGATCACAAAGGTGGTTTTCCCAGGGCGAGGCTTATCCATTGCACACCGGGTGTGCCGATTCCTGTGATTTCCCCAAATGTGGGAAACCTGACTGCATAATTTGTGGTAGGCGGATAATGCGTTCGAGCTCTCCCCTGTAAAAAAAAAAAGAAAGAAAGAAAGAAAGGAAGAAAGAAAAGATAAACTCTCTCTTTTCTCTGTTTAGTTGAACCATTTGAATATCATCAAAGTACCCCCAGTAAGGGAGTCCTTAAATTCTTAGCAGAAGTTATTCAAGCCCAATTTAATATATTTAAGGGAGCTGATTTTATGTTTACCAGGGTTAAATAATATAATTTTAAGGATTTATCTAAAGTTTTCAGGACAACCTTTATAAATTGTTTTCAAATACATGTTGCTTATTTCCCAGGAACTTAGTTTTTTTACATTGACACCTGTGTCTTAATTGTCTTAGGTGAACATCATTACAGTTTTTTTCTAAATCATATGCATTACATTATTCAGAGAATAGAAGTGAAAAATTAAAATGGTTTAGGGTTTAGATAAAGATATTTTTCTCCCTTTAAAGAATTAGATTAGAATAAAATATTATCAGATTTTCAAAAAATCATTGACCAAGAAATAGTAATTGTTAACATTTGTCAAGAGCCTAGTGTTTATAAATGATTATATTGGAAGTCTTCATATGTCATTTTACTCAGTCCTTTCAATAATTTTGAGTTAGATATTACTATCCCTATTCTATATGTAAGTAATCTAGGACACAGAAATAAGTGCTTTTCTTATAAGAAAACCAAATACTCTAAAACATTACCGTAACCATTAACCACAAGTGTCTGTTGAGCATGGGACATGTGTCTAGTCCAAGTTGAGATGTCCTGGAAATATAAAATGCACACCTAATTTCAAAGACTTAGCTGAAACATCAAAAATGTAAATATTTTTATACTGGTTACCTGCTACAATGATGTTAGATTTATTGGATTAAAGTATTAAAATTAATTTCCCCTGTTTCTCTTTACCTTTTCATCAAATGCAGCTACTAGAAAACTTAAAATTACATCTGTGGCTTGCACCGTATTTCTGTTGGACAGTGCTGCTCTAAAAGTATTTGCACAAAATTTAAACAGGCAGATAGTTACTTGCACAAGCTTGCAAATAAATTATGTCATTCTTGCCCCCCTATTTTGTCCTCTATATCAGCTCTCTTCAACTTTCTCTTCGGTTAGGAGAAGAGTTTCACACTTAAGAATTCATTCTATGTCACTAAATTACTTGCTGTATTTCTGCTTTATTACTACTGTTGTGGTGGTTATTGTTTTGTTGTTGTTTTTTTATTGGTTTTAGGCCTTGCTTCTGAAACAGCTCCCCGCCACGTACATACACAAATACACACACATTCCCAATCTTCATAATATTGTTTTAAACATAATATTATTTAGGTCAAGATTCAGTGTTAACATGATTCTAACTGCCAGTTGTAACAACTGTGTATGAAGTACTCTTTACTTTTTATTTTCTGCAAAATTTTTGTTTTTCCTGGAATCAATAATTGCTCTGTTATTATTCAGTTGCTTAGTTTTTCAAGCAACTGTCCTAATTCAATCTCATATTTTTCACCAGTTGTCTAAAATTCATCTGTGTGCATGCAGATACTTTTGAAGATACACCTCCTGGAGCCTTGTAGCCTTCCGTAGCCTGCACGGATGATTGTCTCCTGGTTGGGCCCCATGGTCTCATGCAGGGATCTGCTTTCACAAGATGCTGGGATTTCCTCTGCCTTTAGCCTGTCTTAGCCTTCCTGTTCCCTGTGTCTTCCTCTTTCTTGGTTTATTTCCTCATTTTGGTGAAGTACATCTTAAGCTTCCTGAGAAAGGGTATCTGAGTCTTAAATTTTTTAAGACCTTGAATGTCTAAAAATGTCCCTCCCCTTCATTTTTAAGTGCAGTTGGAGGTCGGAAACAATTTTCTTCAGAAATTTGAAGATATTTCTTTATTGCCTTTTTAGTCTCCAGAGGTGCTATAGGGCATTTGGAGACAAATATTCTCTTATCACCAACTCTCTTCCTATCTCCCCCAAACCTTTTAAAAGATTGTTTTTGTCACCAGTGCCTGAAATTTTACTATAGTATGCCCCAGTACGGGTCAGTTTCCATCCTAATTTTCATGTGTTGGTCCTCTTATACTGGTTGTTTAATTTTTTAATTTAGTTTATTTATTTTTCATCTTTTTTATGTTTACTGAAGTTTCTGAATGACTTACTGAACCTGATCTTCCAGCTCTTAACTATTAAGTCTTTTTTATTTCAGCTATCATAGTTTTAATTTTTTTTCCAAAAATTCTGTTTTAAAAAGTTATTTATTGCTTTATGGATGCAATATCGCCTATCTCCCTGATATTAATGGTACTTTCTTAAAAAAATTTTTTTTCTTTTCTTTGTACAGTCTTGGTTTCAGCCAAATAGTTTTTTTTCTGTTTGTTTTGCTTCTTTCATGAAATGTTCTTTCCTTAGATGGCATGTTATTCCTAGTTGTTTACAAGTATTTGACAGTGGACATTAAATAGATGGAAATTAGTTCTGCACACAGATGTGGAACTTGTGGGTGTAGGTTTCGCTTCAGAGCCATCTGTCCAGGCTGTTTCATTTGGGGATCACCTGATGTCAGTACTTAAACCTTGCTTTTTAGGTTAATCCAGTTCCCTGGGTGGGAAGGTGTCAGTCTCTGATTTGGAGAGACTAGGCAGGGCAGAGAGGTATATTAGTCACGATTCTCCAGAGAAAAGAATCAGAATACATACACACGTACGCATATCCATATCCATATGCATGTATATGTGAACCTATACATATATTTATATAGAAGTTGGCTCATGTGATAATGGAGGCCAAGAAGTCTCGTAATCAGCTGCCTAGAAGAGCCAGGAAAGCCAGTGTATAATTCAGTCCAAGTCCAAAAGCCTGAAAACCAGGAGTGCCAATGTCTGAGGGCAGAATGAAGATAGATGTCCCAACTCAAAGAGATAACAGTTCACCCTTCTCGCACCTTTTTGTTCTGATGGGCCCACAGTAGATTCAGTGGTGCCCACCTACATTGGGAAGTGCCATCTGCTCTACACATTGACCAGTTCAAATGCTGACTTCTCCCCAAAACACTCTCACAGACACACTAGAAATGTTTTCCTAGTTATTTGGGCGTTCCTTAGTCCAGACAAGTTGTCACATAAAATCAATCATCACAAGGGACACAGGGACTAGAGAAGGTATCAGTCAGTTTATAAATATTCCCTTAATTTATCTTTTTTCAATAAGATACTCCCCCCTCTACACATACCTTGTGCTTTGCCTGGTGTTTTCCAGACCAGAGATCCTTCTGTCTTACCTTCTTCAGGCTTTTGCAAGTGTGGGAGAGGGCAGTTGCCTGGCTGAGCACAGTGAAAGGGAGTGTAAATACTGGATTGTTTTTTATTGCCAAGTAGTATTCCACTGTGGATACATAACCACATGTAGTTTATCCGTTGATCAGTTGATGGACAGTTGGGTTGTTTCCGTGTTTTGGCTATTTGAATAATACTGCAGTGAACATTACTGTATGAATTTAATTGAAATTATTTAATAAAATTATTTTCTTTAGTACATACCTAAGAATGGAAATGCTGGATCATATGTTTAACTTTTTAAAGAACTGCCACACTTTTTCAAAAGTGGCTGCAACTCTAATATATTCCTATCAGTCATATGTGAGAGTTCTAGTTTACTTTTACCAACACTTGTTATTGTTGTCTTTTTGATTTTAGCCACCCTGATGGATGTAAAGTGGTATATCATTGTGGTTTGATTTGTGTTTCCTTGATGACTAATGATATTAAGCATCTTGCCTTGTGCTTATTAGCCATTTGTATATATTCTTTGGAGAATGTCTATTCAAATCCCATGTCCATTTTTAAATTGGGTTATTTGTCTTTTTATTGTTGAGTTTTAAGAGTTCTTTGTATATTCTGGACATGAGTCCATTATCAGATATATGATTTACAGATATTTTCTCTCATTCCGTGAGTTGTCTTCTCACTTTCTTGGTAATATCCTTTAAACTATAGAAGATTTAAATTTTGATGAAATCTGCCTTAACCAGTTTTTTCTTTTGTCGCTTGTGCCTGAGATAGTATATTTAAGAAACTATTGCCTAATGCAAAGTTACAGAAATTTACACCAGTGTTTTCTTCTAAGAGTTTTATAGTTTTAGCCCTAAGATTTAGGTCTTTTATCTATTTTGAGTTAATTTTTGTATATAATGTGATGTAGGAGTCCAGCTTTATTCTTTTGCATATGGATATCCAGTTGTCCTGGTACCATTTGTTAAAAATCAATTGACCATAATGATAGGGTCTATTTTAGGACTCTCAATTTTATTCTTTTGATTTATGTGTCTATTCTTATGCTAGTACTAAACTGTCCTGATTGCTGTAGCTTTGTAATAAGTTTTCAAATGGGAAAGTATGAATCATCTTACTTTGTTCTTCTTTTCAAGATTGTTTTGACTACTCCAGATTCCTTGCATTTTCATAGGAATTTTAGAATAAGTTTGTCAGTTTTAATAAAGAAGTCAGCTGGGATTTTGCTGGAGATTGTGTTGAATCTTTAGCTCCATGTGGGGAGTACTGTTGTCTTAACAATATTTAGTCTTCTAATCCATGAACATGGGATGTCTGTCTATTTACTTAAGTCTTTAATTTCAATAATATTTTATGGCTCTGGTGTACAAATCTTGTTCTTATTTTGTTAAGTATTTTTGTTAGTATTCTTTTATGTAAATGAAATTGTTTTCTTAATTCATTTTAGGATTATTCATTGTAGTATATAAAAATATAGTTGATGTTTTAATGTTAATTTATATCTTACAATCTTGCCAAACTTGTTTATTGTAGTAGTTTGCTTTTTTATTCTTTAGGATTTTCTACATATAAGAACATGTCATTTGTAAATAGATATAGTTTTACCTCTTCTTTCCCTGTTTGGATGTCTTTTATTTCTTTTTTTTTGCCTAATTGCCCTGGCTAGAACCTCTGACACTGCATTGAGTAGAAGTGGCAATAACAGACATCTCTGTCTTTTACTCATCCTCGTGGGGAAAGCATTCAGTTTTTCACTATTAAGTAAGATTAAGTAAGCTGTGAATTTTTTTTAGTAGATGTTTATCAGGTTGAGGATGATTATTCCTAGTGAATTGGATTTTTTAAAATAAAAACTGGATTTCATTAATTTTTTTGAATTTGAGATGATTGGTTTTTTAAAATCTATTAATATAGGGTATTAATTAATTTTCAGATGTTAAACAAACCTTATATTCCAGGGATAATCTAACTTGGTCATGGTATATAATAATTTTCATATGTTGTCAGATTTGGTTTGCAGTATTTTGCTGGGGATTTTTGTGTCTTTATTCCATAAGGGATCTTGTTACATAGTTTTCTTGTGATGTCTCTTTTTGGTAGCAGTATCAGGATAATAGTGTCCTCTAAGAGAGAAGTTTTTCTTTTATGGGGAGTAAAATTGGGTAAAGTATTTTTAAAATTGGAAAACATATATAGAACTTGGGATGGATTTAATGCAAATTGTGCAGTACTTTCTGTATGCGGGTAAACTAAGTTTAAAAAGCAAGTAACAATGAAAGAAAATGTTTCCAGTACAGGACCAGCAGTACAAAAAAAATAGCGTTTGACTGTCTAGATAGTACACCCATTCTGCAGTAGTGTAACTTTTAAGTACATATTGTTGACTGTCCATGGTCCATGTAGATTTACAACCCCGCACTTCAGCAACAACATGCTGAGAGTTCCTAAAGAAAACTTCTTTAATAAAAGGCACAACCCAGATGTTTTCTCATTTGACCAACTCCATCTGAGTTTAGATGTGTAAAGGGCTTAAGTATATCTAGAGTAAGCCATGTGCAACGTAAAACTTGATCAGTTTTTCTGAAGTGTTTGACAGTAAGATGAGGAAAGAAAATATGGAGGAATGAAGTCATAATTACTATACATGCATATTTTTGACAGTAGTGGGAAATCTTTTACAGATAAGTTACAAAGGAAAGGCAAATAAACAATTTTGTATAAGAAATTTAACACATTCAGTACAGTCTGTTTGCTGTCATTATTTGTACAAGTTCTTTATAGTTCCCTTGACTGTCACCATTAATATCTGTTTCCCTGATCATTTCATCATTTTCTTCATCTATTAACTTCTCTCCAAGGTGTGTCCATTAGATGGTAAATATGCTGCATTAATATGGCCATTGCCGTCCTTATCAAACAAACACACGAAATGCTTCTCTAATTTCTTCTTCACCCTCTTTGTCTTTCACTTTTCTTGCCATCATTGTCAGAAATATGAGAAAGTCAACTTTCTTCATTAATTGTGTCCTGTAACTGCTTCTGTGGGATTCTACCCAAGAGACCTTATTGCAATTCCCAATTCCTTTCTTGTTATACTTTCATCATCCTTGTCAAGTAGTGAAAAAACTTCTTGGAATTCTGCAGTTGGTCAGCCATGTTGCAGGTGCTACTTGGTCTATAAGACGTGACCACATAACCACTCAGCTTGCTTGTTCCACTTGGACGCTAGAAGTTGTTCTTATGCTTCTGTTTTATGTAAGAGTTTGTGTTCCTGGCCAGTGTGGCTCAGTTGCTTGGAGTGTTGCCCTGTAGACTGAACGGTTGCAGGTTCTGTTCCCAGCCAGGGCACATACTCAGGTTGCGGGTTCGAGCCCCAGTCAGGGTGTGTACGAGAAGGCAACAAATCATTGTTTCTCACATCAATGTTTCTGTATCCTTCCCTCTCTCCCACCTTCTTTCCCTCTCTGTCTAAAAGCAATGAAAAAGTAATCCTCAGGTGAGGATTAAAAAAATTTTTTTTTGAAGGACTGGTGTTAATTCTTCTTTAAACATTTTGTAGAATACATCTGAGCCTGTGCTTTTCTTTATGGGCAGTTTTAAAATTACTAATTCAGTATAATATATTTGTTAAGACTAGTTATATGTGAACATTCATCTTCCACGTACCTATTGATATTTGACTGTTCAGCCAACCTTTCTCCCATATAATATTGAAATACAAAGAGATTTTAATATACCTATTTTTATCTTTTTTTCCCCCCCATTAAAGGTCTGTAATTACTTTGGAATCATTAAGCTATGGCATCAAAGAAATTTGCTGTAAAAGTAAGTAGTGCTTAAGAGCCTTCTTTAAAATGATTAATCACTTTCTAGTATAACTAAGTTTTATGCTAATTGAAGATAGAAACTCTGAACTTTTCTTCTCTTTAAATTTGGTTCTGCCCTGGGTGGTGTGGCTCAATGGATTGAGTTCCAGCCTGTGAACTGAAGGGTCACTGGTTTGATGCCAAGTCAGGGTACATGCCTGAGTTGCAGGCCACGTCCCTAGATGGGGGTGTGTGAGAGGCAACCGATTGATGTATCTCTCACATGTGATGTTTCTCTCCCTCTCTTTCTCCCTCCCTTCCTCCTCTCTAAAAATAAATAAAATAAAATCTTTCAAAAAAATTTGTAAATTTGGTTCTGTACTGAAAACTTTAAGTAGGTGATTGAAAAATTTGCATGTTAAGAATGAGATGGGAGAGAGAATACTAGTTCATATGGTTAAGGGAGTTGCTTGCTTCTGACCAAAAGGCATAACTTGGTCCTTAATTTTAAAAATTGTCATTTACATTGCATGTCGATGACATAATTTCTGATTCTGACGAAAAGCAAATGAAGATAAAGAAGTAGGCAACAAATGCTGCACCTGGTGAATGCCAACAGAGAGTTCTCTTGAGTGGTTGCCCTCTTTGCTTTCCTCTTGCAGGTGTCTCTTCTTCATCCCTGATTGGTTGGGTTTGGGACCTTCTCAGGTGTGGAGGCATGGGAGGATCATGTATGAGGGAAGGGTGGGGGAGGAACTAATAAATAGTGAGTATAAGGTCTTGGAGATACTTGCATTATATTGACTCTTCTTTAGGACTTTTTCTGTATGCTACTGATGTTTTAAATATGAACTTAAAAACACCAAAATAGACAAATTAGTTAACCAGATCAGATATTATGTAATAATATAATCTTTTTCGCATGTCAGTACTTACTTAGATTTACAAGATATTTATAAATTTTATTGCTTACAATTATTTCTTGTATCCATATGTTCAATAGTAGATCTCTCTGTAAGAGATTAAGTGGTGAACTTTTTACTATTTACCTCTCTAAAAATATATCTTGATCTTACTCTAGAAAGCTATATAGTTTGTTTTGGAATTCTAGGTTGAGCATTATTTTTTTCTCAGCATTTTAGAGATATTTTTCCATTATTTCTGGAATCTTATTGTAACTAAGAAATGTTTTATTTATTAATTTAAAATTTAAATTAAGTGGCTTAAAAATGAGCCATTTTATTCTTGTGATTCTGTAAGTTGCCTCGTATCAGTGGGGTGGTTTCACCTTTTGATATTGCCTGGGGCTGCAATTACATAGGAACTCAATTCAAATAGAATATCCAAGATGACTATTCACATCGCTGTCAGTTGATACTTGCTGTGGGTGGAATCATACCTGGGGCCGTTAATTGTTGCCCTTCAAGTTCTCATTTATGTGGTGGCTCTATGTGGAATGGGCTTCTCCTAACAGGATGGCTGAGATTTGGAGGATGGTGTCCCAGAGCAAGAGTTGCAAGAAGAAAGAAGTTTAATTTGCCAGTCCTCTGAAGGCATCCAAAGTCTCAGATGCTACTTCTGCTGCATTCTTTTGGTCAGAGCATTCTAAGCCCAGCTACACGGAAGCTGCAACTCTTGGTATTAGAAGCAGCCTGTACTTACAGGGAAGGGGAGGGTTGCTGGGTCCATCTCTGTTGACTAGTTACCCCATATGAGCCTCATTGTGACTCATATCTTGGTTATCTGTCTTGCTCTTAAGATTTTTTTGGTGATGTTCCGCAGATCTACAATTAAATCTCGATATATAGACTTGTGTTTATTTAGCTGGCTTGGGATGCAATGTATTGTACATTTTCATTAGGAAGATTTAAATTTTTAATCAGTTTTGGAAAAGCTCAGTCATTTTCTCTTTGGGTACTGCTCCTCTTTATTCTCTTCCTGCATAATCTTGGTTTGAGCCAAGAAGAACCTGGAACTCTTATACATAGATTGTTGGAAAGTATCATATAATAGTTTCTTATGTGCTAGAGGGGTAATACTAACTTGTCCGAGACTGAGCCCCTCTAAGCTATCTTCTCAGGAAAGGACTGGACCTCTTGCAAAGCTCTGCACAAACTGGCTATAGCTCAGTAGAGCAGACAATGCTGATTGATCGAAAGTTTGGACCCCAGCCCTTAGTTATGCCAGGGATGGGTCTCTTGACTTTCAGACTGTACACACTGATGTGGCAAATTCTGCTACCATATTTTCCCATCTCACAGTCACACTATGCATGCTTAGAACCTAGCTCCTAAATCATGCCAGGCAGGGTGGTTACCCCAACCATGAGTATCAAGCTAGCAGGTTAGAGATAGAAACAGGGTTCTGAAGCATTATGTGAAAGGTTTTACACATTACATTGTGATTGTTTTCCTGCCTCTGATGACACAGGCAAAGGGCCAGTGCTTTCCTAATCTTGCAGCTTTAAAAGCCCTACAACCCAAGCACTGGAATCCCATTCTGAACAGGGCATCTCAACCGGCCAGAATGCCATTCACTGCCATAGAAGAAGACACGTACACTTAATGATGCTGTTACCATGTGCCTTCTCTGATGAATCCTGGTCCAGCAGACATGTATGAGTGTTGCTTGGCTATTTGCCTTTTCCTTTTTCTCCTCTCTAAATCTGTGTTGCATTCAGAGTCCTTTTTATCAGACCTCTTTCAGTTAATTAAAACCTTTCATTTGTGTTTAACCTATTTAATCTGCATTTAATATATTCTTTAACTTGTCTGTTTTTGGTTACTATATTTTTCATTTGAGAATGTGTTCGGTTATTTTTTTTTTAAGTTCAAATTCTACCAGTTCTTTTTTTATGTACTTGTCTTATTTTTCAGCTTGTTTCCATTTCCTCTTTTTATGTCCTTCATAATTTTAAAGTAACTTATTTCATAGTCTGTTTTAGACTGTTCTCTTCCTATTATTATTTACTAAGTGTGAAATAAACTGATTGAAATTGCTGGATTGTTTATTTGTGTACTTTTTAATTGTTCCCTGATTTTCAGGCACATCCTGCACGTACATACACACACAGGTGGAAAGACCTGTGAACCCACAGAGCAGTTGAGCAGTTACAAGTTGACACCTGCTGGAGCTTTTGTCACTTCAGTGGTTTTGGCAGAGGTTTCATGTTAATTTCATGGATTCCACCACCTTTGTGAGTAGCAAAGTTTCAACTGCAATTCAAAACAGATTCTGGCACAAAGTTGGTGTTTTAGTATTTTCCTGCATTTCTATTGTTCTTGTCCTTTCCCCTTCCCCTCCCCAGGTCCTGACAGCAGGCTTCCATATTGTCTTCCTTGGTTAGCAAGTGAAGATTTTTTTAGCTGCATTTTCATAAAGGCTGAGTTTCTCAAGAGAATGAAGGAAAAAGCTGTATTGAATAGTTACTGTTCTAAGAAATGATGAGCAAACTTACCCAGAAGAACCAGGGAGTATTATGAGGATATCTACAAATTGAGTACTTATTTGTGTGTCAGGAATTGTATAAAGAACTGAAAGTTAAAGTTCTTCACAACTCTAGGCTTAGCTAGAATGGGTTTACTCCCTACTCCTTTTTCTCTTCTACCCCTTTGGAGTACTAGGATACCAGCTCTAAGCTCTACTGGCTCCCAAATATTCTGACAACCAGGCTGAACCTTCCAAAGGGGTGATTATTTTTTTCCCCTAGCTTTTTGAGATATGATTTACATACAATATTGTTAAATTCAAGTTACAATGTGATGATTTGATAAACATAAATATGGTGAAATGTTTACCACAATAAAGTCAACACATCCTTCATGTCAAGTAATTACCATTTTGTTGTTATGACGAGAACATTAAAGCTCTACTTTCATAGCAACTTTCAAGTATACACTGCAGAATTGTTAAGTGTAGTCACCATGTTATATATTTAAATCCTTATTCATCTTATAACTGGAAGTTTGTATCCTCCAACCAACATTTCTCCATTTCCCCCTCTGCTCAGCCCCTGCGAACCACCATAGTACTCTGGTTCTATGAATTTGATGTTTTCATTTATTTATGTTTTTAATTTTATTTTTGTATTACAGTTGACATTCAATATTATTTTGTTTTAGTTTCAGGTGCACAGCATAGTGGTAGACAGTCATATACTTTACAAAGTGATCCTCCCAATATTCCAATTACCCTTCTGGCACCATGAATAGTTATTACAATATTATTGGCTATATTCCCTGTGCTGTACTTTACATCCCTGTGACTGTTTTGTAACTACCAATTTGTACTTCTTAACCCCTTTACCTTTTTCATCCAACCTTTCAATCCCCTTCCCCTCTGGTACCCATTAGTCTGCTCTCTGTATCTATGAGTCTGTTTCTATTTTGTTTGGTCATTTATTTTGTTTTCTAGATTCCACTTGTAAGTGAAATGATATGGTATTTTTCTTTTTCCGACTGACTTACTAGCATAATATCCTCTAGGTTCATCCCTGCTGTCACAAATAGTAAGATGTCTTTTTTATGGATGAGTAATAATTTTTATATATATATATGTACATACACACACACCACAACTTTTTTTTTAATCCATAAGTGAGATCAAACAGTATTTGTCTTTCTTATTGTCTGACTTCTTTCACTTAGCATAATGCCCTCAAAGTCTGTCCATGATGGTGCAAATAGCAGGATTTTCTTTCTATGGCTGAACAATATTCCAGGCTGTATATATACTACATTTTCTCTACTTATTTAGTCATCAGTAAACACTTAGGTTGTTTCCATGCCTTGGCTGTTGTGAATAATGTTGCAATGGCCAAGATCATTGTGGCTCTGTTGGCTGGAGCATCATCCCAAAGACTGAAAGGTTGCTGGTTCTATTCCTGGTTGGGGCACACACCCAGGTTGTGGTTCTGTCCCCATCAGCGTGCAAATGAGAAGGCAACCAATCAGTGTTTCTCTTTCTTTCACTCTAAAAGCAATGAAAAAAACTGTCTTCGAGTGAGGATAAAATAATATA